AATCATTCCTAAATATCATGAGGTCCTTCCAAACACCAATCAAGTCCTTGAATCCATAATTCAATTCAAGAAAAATTAGATTTCCAAGTCAAGTGAAGTTAGCGCCAAGCTTAGAAGTTAAGCAAGTCAAGGCAAGTCGTTAAAGCTTTTCAAGAGTCGTTATTGAACGTCTTAACGTCGTTTCAAGTCTCTAGTTGAGTTAAGAGTACCAAGTCTCAAGTTAAGTTAAGAGTTTCAAGTCAAGTCAAAGGTAAAGAGTTCAAGTAAAGTAAGGAGTAATGAGTCGAGTCCATTTCTCCAAAGTTAATAGGGAACTATGTACTTCCCAAAGAAGTTTCTAAATGTTTTTACATTTAAGTAAGAAGGAATCATGTTTTCCAAAAGAGCCTTAGGGCTAGTTTTCAAGAAAAGGAACATCGTTTCCAAGTGAGCCTTTGGGTTAGATTGATATATTTACAATAAATCATTATAGTTTGAGAAAATTATAATTTGTAACTATAGTTAGAATTTTGTAGATATTTTCTCTCTTCTCTCTTCCTCTCCTCTCTCATCTCTCTTTTTGCGCTCTGGCTCACCTCTCTCCTCTCTCTCTCATCACTCCCTCACCTCTATCTTATCCCTGACCCCCTCTCTCTCCCCACTCTCTGCCTCCTCTCTCTCAATACAAATACAAACGATAACAATCAATTATACAAATATAAATGTTAATCGTCAAATATACAAATAAAAATAATAACAATCAATTATATAAAGAGAAAATACATAATTACCCCATCAAACTTATACCTGTTTTTCAAGTAGACACTTAAAGTTTGCGAGGGTCCTATTACCCCACGGAACCATTTTCAATCATTAAAAATATACCATTTTAACCCTTTTTCATAGAGGGTGTGATATCACGTTTGAGAAGCGCGTGTATGACTAAAATTCAGCTCCAAACCAGTGCAAAAATGACGCGTGGCATTGCCAATTTGAACCCTCAATTATTGCATCTTCTTTATTTAAGGAAGAGAGCAGCAAAGTTGAAGAACTTCCAAAACATGAGTAAAAAGGCTTTAGCGGAGTTGAAATAGTTGTTAAGGTGCTCTCATTGCTCCACCGCCACCCCCATCGGCCAAGGACGAGGAGACGAAATCAGATACTGGCGTTGTCGCAGAGGAAATCAGCTTGTCGTTGATGAAGTTCTTTTCCGGTGATGCACCAAAAAGACGATTTTTTGATGGACTTAGACTTAGTTATTCAGTTACAATTGAGTCTCTCAGCTATGTATATATGTAAATATTCTATTTTGAGACTCGAGTTGCCTTTTTGGCCAGATATGTATTATCTAAGTTGTTTATGTCTTTGCATGGCATTGAGTTATTCTGTTGAGTAGGTTTCCGCTGAGTTAAGAAAGCCAGGCCAAGGGTTCGCCTGGGGCCAGCAATGGTCTCTGGGTGCCGGTCCCGCCCAGGGTGTAGGCTCGGGGCGTGACAGAATTATTGAAACAATGTTACTGTTTGTGACATTGATTTGACATAAAAAAAAAAGAGAGGGCCGGCCCGCCCCAGCCCTTGATCCTTCTAGGGTTGGGCTGGGTTGACCATTTTACCGCCCTTTGAAATGAAGGGCCGGCCCGCCCCAGCCCATCAAATTCTTTGGCTCGCGAGGTTTGGGCGGGATAGGGCTTAAATGGCCCGTTTTGACAGCTCTAATCGCGAAATAAACACAATATAATTATAAGGGACACAAACACTGTCTTGAGTATGCTAATTGATTGAGAAATAATTAAATATGTCACTTCTTGTTTGTATCAAATTGGGATAAATATGTGTTATATGTCAAAAAGAAAAAGAAAAAAGATATTCAAACTCATTGAAGTCTTATTAGGGGCATGAATTTTGTTCTGAAATGATTGTATAGACCAACTTAACAAAATATTGTTGAGTGTTAATGAACAAACTTATATTTATCGTTTTTTTTTACACAATTTTTTCAATAAATTAGACCACAAGGGTCATGCATCACACGCATAATATATTACTAATTCATTTTAATGTAAACAAGATTTTCTTTACGGAATGACTGATGATATCTAGTATAATTCTATAAGTACTATAAAAAATCATAGGCATGGGTCACCGGATTCACGTGAACTCATGCTCTTTTTTTGAGATTATTTATAGTAGTGTTATATTTTAAAAAAACATATTGAAATATAAATGCTCACATTCGGAGTATCACATAATACGATTATTACTGGTGCACCTCTCTCCGTGAGATTAGAAATTTGAATTTTATATTTATCTTGTTTTATTTTTATTTTTAATATTAGATAACACTTCTCTAAGTAGTGATTGGTAGCACTTTTGGCATTTTAATGGCAGCACTTTTGGCATATATATATATATATATCATAATTAATTTTAGACCAATAATATTAAAATTTTAACGGTTTTCAATAGTAAAACCTAAATGTCGAACCGATTAAATTTATATCTTAGATCAATCTTTTTTATAATAATGCACCCATCATTTCAAAATTCTGAATACGCCTCTGTAAAAAATAGTATAGGATAGATCCACATTTGATCAATCACATAAACTTATACTTCATATGATTATCAACTAACAAAGTAATTCATTTTGTTTTGCCTTTTCAGAAGCTCTTAGATATGGGTCTTTATGAACTTTAAGTTTTTTTTTTTAATCCTCTAAATTAAACCATTTGTTTATGTAGGATCATCAAATAAATCATTGAAGAGATACAAAGAAGCAACATAAAAGTTAAATTGTCACACTATGGATTAGAAACTACAAATAAGTAAAAAAAAATTCAGTTAAAAATAAATGCATGCTTAAATACCAATTACATAATTAATTAATGGGCATGAGTTGTTTCTTAAATGCAAGAAATTAATAAATAGATACCTTATAAATAAATAAATTTCACTTCTTCTATTGTTGAGCATTTTTCAGCCAAATCATCAGAATTGCTTTGCTAATCCATTACTATTAGTAACATCAATTTGGAACGTACAAACTACAATGACAGATATTTCAATATTTCTATATAAATTGGATATTTTCCTAAACTGAATCTTATAGTTATGGTAAAATTATAATACCGAGGAACTATGGTGAAAGAAAAATCTAATCAATCACAAAAATTAAAATCTTGATTATTTCGATTCTATCAAAATTCTCTCCACTAGTGAATTTTGTAGTGCATCAACTCACATTAATTTATGCTCTTCTATTTAAGTTGTATTCGAGTTTAAAAGCAAAGGTGATTTCTGGTGAAAGAATATTATCCTATCGACTTTTGGATAAGTTATATCTATGTGAGATTAATGTTGAAGGTTAGGGAATATGCTAAGAGATCGATAATGAAAATTATGATTAAGGTAAGAAGACATATGGAGATATTGCGTGTATTATAATATATGTTGGCATAATGTATTGTTGTTTCTGTTGATTTTGTGATGCTTTACGTGAAACTAATTCAAGTCGGCACATGATGCCTACTTAGTGTGTATGGTGTATTGATACTATTCTTGTTACACATTTTGTTGGTATAAGTTTGTTTCAGGTTGCTTGAAGCGTGGGATGACAATTACTTATCATCAACTACCATGCATTTAGTATTATGTTCTCAAGTAGAAGTTGTATGAGTATTTTTCGCTATTTATTATATTTTCTATTCATACTTTATTAGCAACTCTTTTACCCGTCTAGACTAGGTCCTTGAAATGGTAGATGCAAATTGGAAAACATTATAGGGTAGATGCAAATTGGAAAATATGGAGGAATTAATTGAACCCTAGCTTGTTGAAGAGCAAATCTAAGCACTGAAACCTCCCAATTATGATCATAATAGGACGCAAGTCCTCCATATTAGGAAACCTCTCGACAACAAATAATTTTGATAAGAGAAGTTCAGTATTTTGAATAATTAATAGAGAGATTAATGTGGTGCAAAAAGAGATAGTATTAAATTAAAGTTTAGATTATATAAGAATAATTTAGTCAAATAACTCTTTTAATTAATCTTTTTTAAGGGGTGAAAAATAAATATGACAGTAAAAATGCACTAGACTAGTAGAATGTTCAATATTGAAATAATGTATAACTTCATTAATCATGCAAAAAATTTCTATTAATAATTAATTCATTTGTAACAGTTTATACGTAGAGATTGCATTCAATGCTACTCCTAGCAACATTAAAGACCACAAGGATTTCGTAAATCTCTATACTTATTATAATTATATATTTGACACATGTTTCTTGCTCATAGATAAATATGACTATAAAAGTATCCTTTAGCAAAATAAAAAAAAGTCAGGAATAAGAAAATCAAAACGATTTGTTGAGATATTTATAAACCATTGATGATATAGAGAAATAATTTATACCATCAAAAAATAATTTAACAGTGTAGAATAAATTACTTATTCCGATGTGATTTAGTTCCGGATTCTTCTTTTTCTCCTCTTGTTTTTAAAATTTTTTTTATAACGTCTTTGATAATGTTGTGTGATGTCAAGATCACTCTTGATCTCATCTTCTCATCTACACAATATATATATAGCTTCTAAAATTGAATTGTGATATTCTAATACTTTGTACAATTTAATGTATAAATTGAGAGTTTGAGACTGGTGATATATCTATAGCTTCTAAAATTGAATTGTGATATTCTAATACTTTGTACAATTTAATGTATAAATTGAGAGTTTGAGATTGGTGACTTTTCTTAAAAGAAAGAACTATTTGAGAAAATACAAGAGCAACTTACAAGAGGGGCCAATTTTTCATATTAAAAGCCAACAAAAGATAATGAAACTGAAAATAATTCATATCTAGCTATCTAGAGAAGCATCATTTTCTATGACATGGTTAAACATAACAAACTATAAATCTAAAATTTCCTTTGACCCCACTTGTAACTAAAAAAGAAACATGACTAGAAGACAAAAGGTGCTCATAGTAGAGTTGACGGAGAGGGAGAAAAAAGATCAATTCCTCTTGTCTATTTCATTCCCATTAGATGGAAGTAGTAATTCATGGAGTTCTTCAAAATCCATGAAAATATTGTCATACGTGTTCTCCTCCTCTTCAATATCGTCTTTGTTCTCTACGTCAACATCAACCATTTCATTATTTCTCTCAATTTCAAGTGTAGGTGCAAATGGACTAATTAAAGATGTGTCAACTTTGAAACGCTTAGCACGCTTGGACGAGGATGATGATGCATTCAAGTTTAACGCTTTGGGCACAATATTTATACTTTTTGGAAGTTTGCGTTTGAAACTATTGTTGTATAAAGCAAGAGATCTACGATATGTAGGAGGATCATGGTTGTGTTCATCAGAATAGGACACCAAAAAAATAGTTCTCATTCTTTGGGCTTTTCTCAATTATTTTTGTAGCTTTGCAGGATCCTGATGTACTACATTTAAAGTAGTTCCTGATATATCGTATACACAAAATATAATTAGTACTGGTCAAATATTACATTTGTCTACATTTACCATTAATAGTTTTTACTACTTTTTATCACGAAAATTGAAAACTGAACAACATTTTCTACGATATAAAAAAATGATAAAGAGAGCAAACCTCGGGAATGGAGAACCTTTGATTGACTTCTGACCATACTTACGCCATGCCCATTTATCATCTATGAGTTCCTCTTGCAACACTTCATAGAAAACTCTTGTTGACTGATTTTTTCTGATTTCAAATTAAAAGTATTAAAATTAAAACTCTAAACACGCACACTTAAAATTTAACAGAGAGAATAGTTACCTTTTAAAAGTTTCGATCAGAGGAGTCTGCATGGGCATAGTTAAATTAGGATAAACTTGATCCTGTATCACAAGTTGTTGTTGCAGATCTATCGATTCTTGTGGTGTTGTAGTAGTTGTTGGCACACACGTTATCATTGTTGGCAATGGAGGAAGAAAAAATTGTTGGCAAAATTGAGTTGGTTGAATGGGATTGTAGTACATTTCTTGGTTTTTATTTTGGTCCATGATTATGACCTGATCATCTAATTTTTCAAATTGTTGTTGTGGATCAAATAGTTCTTGTGGTGTTGTAGTTTTTGTTGGCATACACGTTATCGTTGTTGGTAACGTAGGAAGAAAGATTTGTTGACTAAATTGTGTTGGTTGAATGGGATCTAAGTACAAATTATCATTTTGATTCATAATTATAACCTAGTCATCTGATTTTTCAAGTTGTTGTTGTAGATTAATCGACTCTTGTGGTGTTGTAGACGTTGTTGACACACACGTTATCATTGTTGGTAATGGAGGAAGAATGATTTGTTGACTAAATTGATTTGGTTGAATGGGATGTAAGTACATCTCTTGGTTAGAATTTTGGTCCGTGATTATGACCTGGTCATTTGATTTTTTCTGGTGAGCAACTGAAAAATCTATAGAGAAAATCTCAGATAAGTCATTAAAATTAGGCATGTCAGCAACAATTTTTTTGTCAAAACTATTCCAATCATCATTTTCAGAAGTCACCAAGCCTGAGTTAGGAACTGTAACATCGTTAGGCTTATTAATATTACAACTTCTTACTACGGCGCTTAAATCTCAATCATTATCCTCCATTTTAAATCTGTACATATAATTATATTTAGTTAACTGCAGAAAAATGGGATAGGGGCAAGATAATCCTTAAGAATTTAAAAATGTGTTTATTAAAAAAAAAAGGATATTTTCTGTAAGAGAGGAGTGACGAAAAAGATGGGGCAAGATAATCCTTAAGAATTTAAAAATGTGTTTATTAAAAAAAAAAGGATATTTTCTGTAAGAGAGGAGTGAGGAAAAAGATCAAAAAGGGGGCTGATTTATGAAGGAAATAACTGAATTTTTTTTAGTGGGTAGAAAGTTAAAAATCAAAGACTAGGATGAAGAAAGGTGAACCAAATTGGCTTATTATATAGAGAACTCAGAAAGGTACCTACCCGCTCTGTGCTCATCCATATTCAATTAACATTTAATGAACATTTAATGTTCTTTTCCATTTCATTGTGAGGATAATTAGAATATAATAAAAGAGAAGATAAAAAATAATCTCGTGTACCCATTTGTTCAAGAGTTGAAAAGTTTGATTTTTTAAATTAAAAAAATCTTAAATAGTGAAACGGAAGTCCCCTAAGAAAAGAAAATTTGCAATTTCAATAATTTTATGCCCCTAGTCTTTACAATAATCTCAAAGTGGGACCAATAATTATAGTCAATATTTTCTCTAAGAAATATATTTAGTGCAACATGACCACATCACATAAGAAGATGTTAATAACTTTGATAAAGCGACAATATATGTTATAGATGCTTCCGATTTTTAGATGTTGTAATGTATTGAAAAGGGAAACTACACGCATGCACTTCATAACTTTGATGCAACACTCGAAATATTGTTAAATACAAAAGTCTACATAGATTAAATTAAAAAATAGTCCAGTACATAAACTATTTTGTGTGTACAAAAGTCTCTATAGACTAGATCTAAAGACAACTCAATGCATTAAACATTGTGTTCACACATAATTAGAAAAAATGTTGTAGCCTAAGAGGTGTGACGTAGAAAATCTATTCTAATACAAGCATTAATGGTTGCTTGCATCTTAGATAGACAATATTCTCATAATTAAAATAAAATAAATTACTGACATTTTATAAGGTGAAATTCAAATTTGGCACGAGGACTGGTTGAAAATTGACACATAATAGCATCTTCTTAATGTAAACCCTTGCAGGAGAGAAATATGATCTCATCTACTTGTAAGAAAAATATCATTGAAAAGCTATAATAATACAAAAGATTCACGATCTTTTGATTATTTCTTGGTCTTATTTTTACTTGTAATTATATTTACACTTATTAATGTCCCTGTTCTTCATACAATTTATAATAACAACAACAAGAATAACATATTAAGTGTAGTCGCACAAGTGAGACTTAAAAAGAATAATGTGTATTCAGTTTTACTCATACCTTGTAAAATTAGGGTAGTTGTTCTTATTATTATCCTTATTCTTAGTATAATTCATACTCTGTAATTTATTTTTGCTACACCAATTTATCCACGAAGAAAAGGAGTTTGATCGATCATAGTATATTTGTCTTTATCCTTGTTTTTACAAATTCAACTTTTAAATGCATAGTAACAACTTTTGTTAGTAAATAACCATTGTTTGTAACAAATTTGTAAGTGTCATAAAATAAATTACAATCACAAAAAAATATGAAGAAACATAATTTTATTCATCAGGATTGCAGTACAATTCAGTTGATCCCTTGATTCTTCTCTCATAAGATATTTATCCACAATTCGAGGGTCGTTTGTGGCATATTTCTCGACTCAGGATGATTTGAACTTGATCTACATAATTTGAGGGCCGTTAGTGTCGTATTTCTCAAACTAGGATGATTTGGACTTGATCTACATAATTTGAAGACCGTTAGTAAAGTATTTCTTAAACTAAGATGATTTGAACTTGATCTACATAATTTGAGGGCCGTTAGTGGCGTATTTCTCAAACTAGGATGAGTTGGACTTGATATTCATAATTCGAGGGTTGCTAGTGGTGTATTTCTTAAATTAAGATGATTTAGATTTGATATCTTTATGAATATTCCATGAGTTTGTGGAATATTTGAGAAATTCGAGATGCCTTTTTCAAGGAAATATAGTACCCTTTGTATAGGCATGAACTAGGGTTTAGGGTTGAGTAGCCTCCAAAAATTCTAATTGGAATTGAACACACCTTGTAGACTTCCAACTCAAATTGAGCACGTCTTGTAGAGTCCTACAAAAATTCAATGTCTACAAATGCCCCCTACTTCAAGGCTTGTCAGAGTGTAGACCTGATGAAACTCAAAGACGAGGCTTGAAGTACTCATTCTTCCACCTTTGTAGCTTCAGATTTTTAGATTTGACTTAAAAGAGAAGAGATGAAGGATAGATTTGGTCCAATTGGACGTGCCAATTTGTTTGCGACAAATTTTAAAGTGACAGAAAATAAATTACAATCATAAAAAATATGAAGAAACATAAATTTATTCATCAAGATTGCGGGTACAATTCTGTTGATCGCTTGATTCTTCTCTCATAAGATATTTATCCATAATTCGACGGCCGTTTGTGGCATATTTCTTGACCTAGGATGATTTGGACTTGATCTATATAATTTAAGGGCCGTTAGTGCGTCTTTCTCAAACTAGGATCTACATAATTTGAGGGTTGTTAGTGGAGTATTTCTCAAACTAGGATGATTTGAACTTGATAATAATAATTCGAGGGCCATTAATGACATATTTATCGAATTAAGATGATTTGGATTTGATCTCTTTATGAATATTCCATGAGTTTGTGTAATATTTGAGATTTAGAGATCTTTAAAAATACCCAAGAGTTTATGGGATATTTGAGATGCCTTTTAATGGAATTTTGTATCCTTTATATAGGCGTGGACTAGAGTTTAGGGTTGAGTAGCCTCCAAGAATCTAATTTGAATTGAACACACCTTGTAGAGTCCCAACTCAAATTGAACACCTCTTGTAGAGTCCTAGAAAATTTCAACGTCTACAAATACCCCCTACTCCAAGGCTTGTCGGAGTGTAGACTTGATGAAACTCAAAGACATGCTTGAAGTACTCATTCTTCCACCTTTGCAGATTCAGTTTTTCAGATTTGATTCAAGAGATAAGAGATGAAGGGTAGATTTGGTCCCACTGGGCGTGCCAGAATTTGTTTGCAACAAATTTTAAACATATGGATAATAAATAAACCACACAAATAAAATCTGAAGAAACATGAATATTTTATATATAAATCAATGTGGGTACAATTTTGTTCCTCCCTTGATTCTTCTCTCATAAGATATTTATCCGTGATTTGAGGGCCGTTTGTGGCGTATTTCTCGACTTAGGATGATTTGGACATGATCTACATAATTTGAGGGCCATTAGTGGCGTATTTCACAAACTAGGATGATTTGAACTTGATCCATATAATTCGAGGGCCGTTAGTGCATATTTCTCAAATTAAGATGATTTAGATTTGATCTATTTATGAATATTCTATGAGTTTGTGGAATATTTGAGATGCCTTTTCAAGGGAATATAATACCCTTTACATAGGCATGAACTTGGATTTACAGTTGAATAGCCTCGAAGAATTCTAATTGGAATTGAACATACCTTGTAGAGTTTCAACTCAAATGAACACATCTTGTAGAGTCCTACAAAATTTCACTTTGAAGAATCGGTATGTCCTAATGATTAAATTTGTTAGAGGATGATTACAATTTCACTTCATTCAAGAAATCTAAAGTTCAAATATCGTTAAAAGTTCTAGTCTATTTTATATGAACAAATCTTTTTTGATCTTTAAGACAATATTTATTTTTTCAAATGTCTATCCGTTCAACGTTAATTGTATTGTCTCTAACTATACATATAATTTGTTAGCAAAAAAAGAAATTTTAAAGAATGTAAATAAGACTATATGTTCTGTAATATTTCATAGTAAAGTATGAATTATAATTATATTTTCATGCTTGTAAAACAAAAGTAATGTCTGAGCTATGTTTTGTTTTATTATTAATATATACCATTACAAACATTTAGAGGACTGAGTTGTGGGCTTGTGGCCTAGTGATTTACTACCGTGTGAATCATTTTGTCCCAGGTTTAAATTTTAGTAGACAAAAATATTAAGTGATTTTTTTCCATCTGTCTAAGTTTAGATGGACAAAATTACCTGATAAGATTGAATCAAAGAGCAAGGGATCATGAAATTACTTGATTTATCGAACTATTTAGTGTTTGTGAATAGTAAGAGGAATGGAGTAAAAGTTGCTAGCAGTGCTCTTGTGGAAGTTCCCAGCTACACCCAAGAAGTTGTGATTGTACCACTATA